ACACACACACACACACACACGTGTTGGGAGTTACTTTCAAACTACGACCCGTTGTTTGTTAGCTTGTTTGATAACTTTTATTCAACATTTAACAGAATTCAGTTACATCACACTGGAACTTCCTTTAGGGGGGCCAGGAGGTGGGTCGCAAAATAGTAGCTGTAGCCCATCCAATACCATGTGTGTCGCTGTATTTAAGTAGCTTTTAAGCTAATAGATGGATTAAAGATTTTAATAAAACAATGGTCAATTTGCAAATTATTATTTTAACTGATTTGCGATGCGTCGTCACATCCCTACCACCTAAAAAACATAACGTGTGACGTATAATTGTGACATAAATTGACCAATGAATTATTCAGAGGAGCAGACCAATCAGATCACTTTGACTCAGCTTAGCAGCCGTGAACATGATCGACAGTCGTCCACCATGTTGTCTGTTGTCTGCTGTCTGTGGCCTCTGTTTCAGTGTGACCTGCTGCATGGCTCACTGCAGTGGAGGCAGTTCAAGGTGACTTCATTCTCAGCCACTGCCTCTTTTTTATTTTCTGCTTCCACACAAAGGAGGAAGTGAGGAGGGCGGTCAGGCAGATGGAGGAAGAGAAAAGAGAAGAAAGGCTTTTTAAAAAAAAACAGGTTCTGAATTTCATGTACAGTTTCCCAAACTTGAAGACTATTTATCCCTGAGCTTCACCTGCCGTGATGCGGTCCTTCTCTCTCACACGCTAACATTGGTCATGGTACAGCGTGTCCGTCCTCCGCTCTCGCCTGCTCTCCAGTAATTGCGCTTATGTCTGTCTTTCGTGACCAATCCGGTCCCTCCTCCTTAGACCCAGACACACGCATATCCACACACAAAAACACGGTCAACAACACAGACACGCACACCGTGCCACAGCCAGAGAGGTTACACACAATCAGACCAATATCCGCACACATGCCGACTTGGACTCGTGCGGTTGTTCATGAACTCACGCACACTCGTCATGTGACTGTGTGATACGTCAGGAGGCTGAGTGTTGGCTCTCGCTACACTGAGCACCACAGGGGGTTTATCATCGCAGAAAATACACAAAGCCACAGTCACGAAGTGTCAACTTCATCTCACACACACACACACACACACACACATGCACCTGGACATTTACATGCACACACAGAGAAGTAAAAGGGTAAACACAAGGATTTTTTTGTTCCAGTTACAGAGGAAGACTCACAGGTTCACACACACATCCATTTGAGTTCTGTCACAGAGGAGAATGAAGAGGCAGCTGCAGCTGCTTGTTGTTCTGAGAAAGGGTTAAATCCCTGATCCTCGTACAAACGCTGCCCTCATCTGTGGACTCTGTGATGTCTCAACAAAGACAAAGGTGAGATTTAAAAGTCTTGAGCAGGAGTCAGCTACGATGCCACACCGCTCCACTCTCCTTGTTTCTCCACTCAATCCAAGGCCCGTCATTATATCACTTGATTAAACCTAATCCTAATGCCTCTAATCCAGGCTGCACCAAAATAAGTCCATAAGAGTCACGGAGGAAACACGGTTCAGTCTGTGACTGTCTGTGACTGTCTGTGACCTCCTCCATCAAACACTCTGACCTTCTACTTATCTACCATCAACACTGGGGGGCAGTGTGGGGAGGCGGTGTCAGGGCGTCAGTGGACGGAAACAGAAAGTTATAAAATAATAATAAAAACATTTGTTGTCCTTGTCAGTGTTTGGTACACTGTGTACACACACACACACACACACACGCTGCAGTCTGTGCCCGTGTGTGTGTGTGTGTTTCACAGGGTGCTGGGTCACGGCAGCTGTAGAACGAGAAGGTAGAAGAAAGTTGGAGCATTAGATTTTCTCCTGTCCCGTCTGCAGCAGTTATCCTGCTGTCCTCTGTCATGAGACGATGGAGACAGACAGACAGACAGACTGACTGACTGACTGACTGACTGACTGACTGAC